AAAAAAAAAAAAAAAAGAAAAGAAAAATGGGGTCGTGGTGAAGCAGACTGGTCTTGGTGTGCAGCTGAAGAATATGATAGCAAACCACCTTGTAAAATCTGATACTAGAAATTGCAATAGGCCAAGACAAACAGCCTCAGATGCCAGATAGCCCGCAGCTGTCTTCTGCTGGAAAATCAATTCATCTGTCTCTGAAAGTTCTGGACCATTTTGTAATGATGAATCACTGGAAAAAGATTTGAATGATATGAGCAAGGAAATTAATGTTGTCTACATATGCAAAGATCTTAAATGAGAGAGCAGTAGTAGATGCATCTTACATTGGCAAAATAGACGGACTCTTCAAAGAAGCCAACACTATTGAAAACTTCTTCATACAAAAAAGAGAGCTCCTGAGACAGGTTTACAGTGATTGCAAACACACTGCACAGATAAAATGTGTACCTAAAATAAGCTGAGAATTTAAACTTATTGTAATGGAAAAATGAGATTTATTCTTTGAAAGCTCTCTAGTTAACAACAATATACATCTTAAACAGAGAAGGGGAAATTTGAATTTTTTTCTAGATTTAAAAGGGGCTGTAAGGTGGACATTAATATGAACTATGTCCCTTTTCTTTTGAAGGTCAAGTAATTGGCACATTTTATACACGTAGAAGTTTAAATTATTTAAATCCTGTGGGGATTCTTTTTTCTTCTTCTTCTTAAACTTCCTAGACTTTCTTAAATGTCTAAAAGAGGGCTCAATTTTTTTTTATTTTTTATTTTTTTGCAGTTTTTGGCTGGGGCTGAGTTTGAACCCACCACCAATGCCGGTGCAGTTTTTGGCCCGTGCCCTACTCCTTTGAGCTACAGGCACCACCCCAGTTAATTTATAATGTTTATAATATTGTACTTTTTATTTTAGAATATTTTGTTTAAATAGGAGATTATTTTGAAGATAGTTTTAAAATGTTTTTCATGGTTAGTAGTTTTATTAAAAAAACATTAAAACCTGAAAGGTAAGTTGTCCAGTTTATATAATAAAACAGAACGGTGTACTCTTTATTTTTAATATTAACCATTTGATATTTTCTTTCTTGGTTATTATATATGACTAATACAAACTCTTGGCCTAAAGTTGTTTTTTTTAAGTCATAAAAGTAGTAAAATAAAACCCAGAAATTACTAAAAAAGAAAAGAAAAATAGACCAGTTCTGTTGTTTACTCCTCCATCCCCCATGTTTCCCTTTGCTCCTAGAAGAAAACCCTGTCTTCCACCCTGATTTACGAAAGCCCCACATTATCTGGCCCTGTGCTGTTTTACCACTCCCCCTCAGGGCACTACACTCCAACCACACTGGCTTTTCTCTTCACAAAATTTATCAGGCTTATTCCTTATTACAGTTTTGCACTTTCCACTAGGAAGTTTACCCAAAACTTCACACAGCTATTCAGGTCTTTCCTCAAAATGTATGCTCAGAAAGGGCCTTTCCTGAGTACTCAATCCAAGGTAGTAACCAGTCACTGTCTTATCACCAAGTTAAAATCTCTGTAGAGGGCCAGACGGCAAGGCTCAAGCCTGTAATCCTAGCACTCTGGGAGGCAGAGGCAGGTGGATCCCTAGAACTCAGGAGTTCAAGATCAGCCTGAGCAAGAGCAAGGCACCCCCTCCCCCCAGTCTCTACTAAAAATAGAAAAACCCCGTAGTTCAGTGGTTAGGGCACCAGTCACATATACGGGAGCTGTCGGGATCAAACCCAGCTTGGGGCCTGCTAAACAATGACAACAACAAAAAATAGCCAGGTGTTGTAGCTAGTGCCTGTAGTCCCAACTACTTGGGAGGGTGAGACAAGGGAATTGCTTAAGCCCAAGAGTTTGAGGCTGCTGAGAGTTGTGATGCCACAGCACTCTACCAAGGGTGACAAAGTGAAACTGTCTCAAAAAAGTAAGTAAATAAAATAGAAACACTAGCCAGGCACTGTGGAGGGCACCTGTAATCCCAACTACTTGGGAGGATGAGGCAAGAAGATCGCCCAGGAATTTGAGGTTGCTCTGCAATATGACCCCATAGCATTCTAGCCTGGGGCAAGAGTGAGACCGTCTAAAAATAATAAGTACATAAATAAACATAAAGAAAAAAATCTCTTTATAGGATTCACCTGTTTTTTTCTTCAGACAGTCTTTCTTGCCCCCGTCGAGTGTCATGACATCATAGCTCACACCAACCTCAAACTCTTAGGTTCAAGTGATCCTCTTATCTCAGCCTCACGAGTAGCTGGGACTACAGGTACCTGCCACAACACCTGGCTAGTGTTAGAGATGGGTCTCGCTCTTGCTTAAGGCTGGTCTCCAACTCCTGAGCTCAGTCAATCCTCTAGCCTCTGCCTCCCAGAGTGCTAGGATTACAGGCGTGAGCACAGCACCCAGCCTAGGATTTACCTTTATAAATTTGTTTTATAATGTAAATGACATAAAATTTCATCTTGTCCCCCATTTAGAATGGTTCCTGGTATATAGTAAGTGCTCAGTAAGTACTTGTGGAAAAAAGAAAAGGATGAGTAGCATCAGATACTTAAGTAATTCTAGTCCTAACTGGGGATATCAGACAATTCCTTCATAAAAAATCAGAAAGAATGGGCTTTTCCAGCTTCTTGGCACCTGAAAGCTCAAGTTACACTTTGAGGATCTGGTTCTAATCAAATAAGATAGGGTGGCACCTGTGGCTCAATGAGTAGGACATCTGCCCCATATACCAAGGGTGGTGGTTTTGAACCCAGCCCTGGCCAAACAGCATCAAAAAAAATAGCTGGGTATTGTGGCAGGTGCCTGTAATCCCAGCTACTTGGGAGGCTGAGGCAAGAGAATCACCTAAGCCCAAGAGCTGGAGGTTGCTGTGAGCTGTGATACCAAGGGCAATAACATGAGACTCTGTCTCTAAAAAAAAAAAAAAAAACAAATAGACAAAACAGCCACAGCAGAGATAAAATGAGCTATCTCTGGGAAATAATTAGACCTATAATCTCATCCCAAGATTATCACCAGGCTCTTTAATTCCTCACAGTAAGGCTCGGCACCTATAGCTCAACCGGCTAAGGCGCCAGCCACGTACACCTAAGGTGGCGGGTTCGAATCCCCAGCCCGGACCCGCCAAACAACAATGAC